CTAAATTTGGTACTTATTTTTGCTAACCAGGAATTATACTATCCATACAGATTTATTTCAATAATTACATGACTTAATTTATATTTATTAAGTCTCTTAATTTCTACATTTTTTATTGTTAGAACAGGGGTTCTCAAACTTCATCGCACCGCGACCCCCTTCTGACAACAAAAACTACTAAAGGACCACAGGAGGGGGGACCAAAGTCTGAGCCCTCCCAAGCCCCGCTACCCAAGGGCCAGGGGGGCAAAGTCAAAGCCCCGCTGCCCCAGGCCGGGGGCCCAAAGCCGAAGCCCAAGGGGCTTCAGCCCCAGGCAGGGGGCCTGTAAACTTAGTCCTGCCACCGACGGCTGAAGCTCTCAGGCTTGGGCTTTGGCCCTGGGCCCCAGCAAGTCTAAGCCAGACCTGGTGACCCCGTTAAAATGGGGTCATGACCCACTTTGGGGTCCCAACCCAAAGTTTGAGAACCTCTGATAGAAAATAGTGAATAATGCGTTTTGAATTTATTAAATGATTAAAATTTTGCTTGTGATTTGTGTCACGCTCTTTGAATGGAAATTCAAATTGAATGACAAATGCTCAAAAGGAGCATTTTATTTTAATTAAATAAAAGTACCTTAAATATTCTGGATACACAAGAAAAAAATCAAAACATGTTTTGCATTTAAAACTAAAAAAATTATTAAACAAAGGAAGTATTATATATAGTTAGTGAACGACCTGAATATTTCTGGGAACTATGTCCTTCAGGATTTTGGAACTAGTAGATCTCTTCCTCTTACGCCTACTTTTTAATCATAGATTAAAAAAAGAAAACAAGCTTTCCTGTTCTTTCAACTCCCAGTTGGTTTCTTAGCTTTGACTGAACTAGACATTGAACTGAACTAAGGCTAGGTCTACACTACCCGCCTGAATCGGCGGGTAGAAATCGATCTCGCGGGGATCGAATTATCGCATCTCGTCGGGACGCAACAATCGATCCCCGAATCGACACTCTTACTCCATCAGGGGAGGTGGGAGTAAGCACCGTCGACGGGGAGCCGCGGAGGTCGATTTTGCTGCCGTCCTCACAGCGGGGTAAGTTGGCTCTGATAGGTCGAATTCAGCTACGCTATTCATGTAGCTGAATTTGCGTATATTAAATCGACCCCCCCGTAGTGAAGACCTGCCCTAATTGAATACACTGACATGAAGAAAATATTCTCTCTGCACCTGCAGAAGAAGCTACTGCTGTCAAAAGTTGGTTTAGCATTTCTGCACACTTTGGTTTGAGGTGCTTACCCAGTGACTTCCACCAGTTCAGTGGCTTCACTTTCTTTAAAACTTGGCAGCAAATATGTATTGTTATTATTTGTTTTATTTATTTATTGAAAAGATTTTAATAGATTATAAACGTAGGCCTCAAAATAGGATGTTAATTTCAAATTTAATTTTAAATAGGTTTATTTTTTCAAAATAAAATTGGCTTTAATTTAAATTTAAAAAATCAGATTTTTTTAAATCATTGATTTTTATTCACTCTGCTAGTAATAGAACCATATTATTTCCTTTTGAAGTATATTCTATAGTTTAATAGGAAATAAACCCTTATCTCCAAGCACAAACTAATGAGCAAGGGACAAATAATAAAATCCCTTGCATTTGTCATCTTAAGCCAAAATCTTATAGAAATATCATAGAAATGCAGGGATGTGAGAGACCTCGGGAGGTCCACCTAGTCTAGCCTCCAGCACCAACGCAGGACCAGGATAACTGTTAAAATATTTTTAAAATATACAATAAAAAATAATTTGCCTCATCCACTAACAAAATATTAGGCCCAGATCTGAATAAAAGCATTAATTATATTAGATATGAGGATGTCTGATATGACAGTAACATCTCCATCAGCTCCCTTCGAGACACTCTCAAAAGAAGCATCTAAGACAACTGTACTGTCATTAAAAAGATGCCATGGCTACATTACAATGTCAGCCTAAATGGATTGGAAATTATGATGACCGGAGGGCATTCAGTCCATACTGAATGCTTTGAAATGTAGCCCCTGCTCTCACTATTTTCCAAAGTTACTGGACAGACGTCAGTCATGTTTTACATGGGGATGATGCCTGTAACAGGTTATTCTTTAAAAATAAGTTTCTTTATGGTAAAACCGGTTAGAAATAAAGAAAAATACTTGATCAAAAATCATTTTTGCCCCCTTTAAAAATAAACCGATGTGCATATTCCAAAAATGTCTCATTGAGGCCAGCTACCTGTAGAATATGTTTCATCTTGATTAAATTTGAAATTGTCAGACTAGTAAACTCATAACCCAGAGTCTAAATCTAAAGCCCGAAACTCTTTCAGCAGTAGCATATGAAAGCTATAACATACTTCTTATGATCAAAGAACAGCTGGGAAACAACGGCTCAAACTAATAATATGCCTATTCTTAGGAAAACTATATCACTATAGCCAAATTCATCACAGCCCAAGTAAACAGACCTTTTGCAGGAGGACCTTTGATTGAGGAGATGGTCATCCCTCAAAGTCATGGAACACTGGCACTATTGCTACCAGCAGCAGCTGGAGAGAGCTGGGACAGACACTGCTGCAACAATGCTGCTGTGAGACAGCCCTTCTGATACCCCATGCACCATTAAACATAAAACTAAGACAACTTATCAATCATGCCAGATGCTACAAAGTCATAGCTGGCTAACATTGCGGTATGCTCCAAGCAATTCTGAAATAATTAATAAGATCCTTGGGAATGACATTCCCAAATCCCCCAGGCTTTTTCCTACATGATCTGCCAAAGTCAATATACTTACTTCAGGGCTAATTCTGTGAAGTGCTGAACATCCTTAACTCCCATTGTCTTCAATTAAATTAAGGGCACTCAATATCTTGAATAATCAAAGTGCATAGACTACACAAAATAGGTTAGGGAGGGGGTGGAAGTTAACTACACTAAATCTAAGGTCTGATACCAATATGATATGGAAATCATTACCACCTTCCCTCTGAGACTGGTTCCCAAGCACAGCCAAAGTGGTAGCCAGTCAATAGCTCATTTACAACTGAAATAATTCCAACCTGAATTTATAAATTTCCAAATTTTCTTTCATACCTGTTCAACTTACTCCTCAAAATGATTTTGCATCCTCCCAGTAAACAAATCACTGGTGGCGATAAATCAAAACAGTGGATGTGATATACCTTGACTTTAGCAAAGCTTTTGATACGGTCCTCCACAGTATTCTTGTCAGCAAGTTAAAGAAGTATGGGATGGATGAATGAACTATAAGGTGGATAGAAAGCTGGCTAGATCATCAAGCTCAACGGGTAGTGATCAACGGCTCCATGTCTAGTTGGCAGCCGGTATCAAGCGGAGTGTCCCAAGGGTTGGTCCTGAGGCCGGTTTTGTTCAATATCTTCATTAATGATCTGGAGGATGGCGTGGATTGCACCCTCAGCAAGTTTGCAGATGACACTAAACTGGAAAGAGTGGTAGATACGCTGGAGGGTAGGGATAGGATACAGAGAGGCCTAGACAAATTAGAGGATTGGGCCAAAAGAAATCTGATGAAGTTCAACAAGGACAAGTGCAGAGTCCTGCATTTAGGACAGAAGAATCCCATGCACTGCTACAGACTAGGGACCGAGTAGCTAGGCAGCAGTTCTGCAGAAAAGGACCTATAGGTTACAGTGGACGAGAAGCTGGATATGAGTCAACAGTGTGCCCTTGTTGCCAAGAAGGCAAATGGCATTTTGGGCTGTATAAGTAGGAGCATTGCCAGCAGATCGAGGGACGTGATCATTCCCCTCTATTCGGCATTGGTGAGACCTCATCTGGAGTACTGTGTCCAGTTTTGAGCCCCACACTACAAGGAGGATGTGGAAAAATTGGAAAGAGTCCAGCGGAGGGCAACAAAAATGATTAGCAGCCTAGAGCACATGACTTATGAGGAGATGCTGAGGGAACTGGGATTATTTAGTCTGCAGAAGAGAAGAATGAGGGGGGATTTGATAGCTGCTTTCAACTATCTGAAAGGAGGTTCCAAAGAGGATGGATCTAGACTGTTCTCAGTGGTAGCAGATGACAGAACAAGGAGTAATGGTCTCAAGTTGCAGTGGAGGAGGTTTAGGTTGGATATTAGGAAAAACTTTTTCACTAGGAGGGTGGTGAAGCACTGAAATGGATTATCTAGGGAGGTGGTGGAATCTCCTTCCTTAGAGGTTTTTAAGGTCAGGCTTGACAAAACCTTGGCTGGGATGATTTAGTTGGGGATTAGTCCTGCTTTGAGCAGGGGGTTGTACTGGATGAACTCCTGAGGTCCCTTCCAACCCTGATATTCTATGAAAACTTCCTATGAACAATCCACTCCTAGAGGGCACGCTCTCCACACTCTTCTCCCTTTCTTTTCATCTTTCTCTAAAACTACTCTTCAAACCATAGTACCCAATTGAACTCTTCTATATGCATGCCTCACTTGGCCTATTTTAACATCTGTCCAGAGTCAATCTTAATATTGTATTATTCTTATGTTTGGCCACCTGTTAAGGTACATACTTGCGATTTACTAGACTGTATTTTGTCTAGGGAGACCTATGTTGATTCATGAGTCATGCTCTTTACTTTGTTTCCTTTGTGCACATTTTAGTGTTCTTTAACTTTATTTAAACAAATTGCAACAATGAACACCCACACAGCAGAACAAAACAAAGAAAATATGCTGAGGAAAAAAAATTAGGGTCGAATGTCAAAGATGTTAAAAAGTGCATGGCATCTTAGTCATGATTCAAGATAACAGATTTGTTTCTGGTTTGGCCTAACCAAGACCATTTCAACAACTTAACTGCTAGACTTGCAACCATTAGTCATCAAATTAAGCTGAAATGAAAATATTATTTCCTTCTGTATACTGTATCACATCTTCATAAATTCAATTACAGTGAAAGCTCTGGAAATGTACCCTGAGACAACAATGGCAGGAAATACATGCTCTACTTACTACAGTTTGTCTGGCTATTGTTTATGTCACAGAAAGAAGAGGTGCCACAAGAATCAGGGCAGGAAGCATCAATACATCTCTGGTCCCCTTCCTGACATGGTGTTTGACCTGAAGAAAAAACAATAAAAGCTTGTTACTATAATGATTTAGTAGAGGAATAAAAGTGACAGTGTAGTGGTCAGAAGATACAGTTACAGATTAACAGACACAGACTAAAAGTGTTCCCAAATTCATTAGATGGTATAGTAACAATCTGCTGTTAGACCACCAGAGTACTTGTCATTTTTAAGGTATTTTCTGTAGTGAGCATAGAGCCCCCAGTATTTCCACTACTACAGCTGGACACCAGTGTTTAAAACATTTCTAAGGTGGAAAAAAACACATTGGTGTTTAACATAATTTTTCCTTTTTCTTTTCTTATCCCCAGGTTTAAATTAATATGTGAGAAAGTTTATATCTCAGATTCTGGGCTGTGCATGAGGAGTGCTTTCAGCCTGTCACATGGCTATTTGGGGAAGAGTATAAGAGGAATAAGAAGCTGGGTCAAAGGGGAATGGTATGTCCTCTCGCCTCCTGGCTGGTTAAAGCAGGGAAAGCCTGTGGGAATTATACCTCTGTATTTTTCAACTGATTTGCTTTTTGTTTTGTAGACAATAAAACAAAGGGCCTTAAAAGACTAATGCCTAAAGCTTTGTTTTCCTTCCTTGGCTAGTGAAGCTGCCCACCAGCCTATAGAGCAGTGGTTCTCAACTTGTGTCCTGGGGGTCGTTTGTGGCCCAATTAGCTCACAACTGTGGCCTATCTGACATTCTCAGGGCCATACAGGTAGTATATATATTTTATGGATGTGGCCCATATAAAACACATATGCAGCCCACAATGGTAAATAGGTTGGGAACCACTGCTATAGAGGTATATACAACAGCCAAATGCAGCAAAGCTTACGCCTCACCAGAGAGCTTCCGTGTTTGAAACTTTGGCCCATCCACATTTCCTCTCACAGAATACTATCCCTACTGCTCTACTATCTCTATTACTATCTATGTGCTGTATGACTCTGAGTCCTCCCCACCCAACTAAAATCTTTGCTAAGGGCACAGCCAAGGCTGGCATTGAAAGTCACCTCCTTTATGTGGCTTTGGCTGTTTTGTAAAGTTATCTCAATTAACAGCTCTTGAACACAAAGACTCAAAAGTGTATAATGTTATCAGTCAGTCAAGTTTAAAATCATATTATTACAGTTGTCATTTGTACTGCAGTAGTGTCCATGGGCACCAGATACTGTGCAGGCACACAATAGAGACAAGACACTGTCACCAAAGAGCTCACAATCTAATTTATGTAGCTTAACACTGAGCTAGGTATATCAAGAGTATCTTTTCACTCTTTTGGTGACTTCACTTCATCTGAGGTATGGCAGAGGATGTATGTTTTACATCTTTACCACATTTGCTACAGTACAATATGGTATGCACATACAGGAACTAATAGATTTTTGGTCTTTTTATTTTACAAGAGCACTTGATCCTAAAATGAAACTCATAGGATAGGAAAAAATCTTTACAGACTTCCAAAATTGTCACAAATCTTGGCATTAAAACATATTTTTAAAGTCTTGCCACCACCACGCCTCAGCTACCTCCTATCAATCTCCCAAAGGGAGGTCCTTTCTGAAGTCCTTGGTATGCTACCATTTGTGGGTACAGTACAGATTCCTTCTAATCATAATACAATCCACATTGAATTCCTATAAACACAGTCTGTCATGTCTTTAGAAAGCATCAGACCCAGTTGTGATTACTTCCATATTGGATTTCTATTTTCACAGAATGAGACAGCATTAAGATCATAATTACATTTCCTTAAGGTATGTAAGGAAGGTATGTTTTCTCATTCAGCAATATGGTAAGCCAATATTCATTTGAGGATTATATGGATGAAGTAGCAAGTTACTAACTGCTCTCCTTCTCATATCTATTCTGATGATATCACAAGTGTGCTACTACTGCTCAACTGTTTTTTGAAGCCAAACCAACATCCTAATCATTTAAGAACTTCTCTGCCTCTCTTAGATGCATCCACACTCCTTTAATTTTGAAAAGATGAAAGAATGGTTACTTACCCTTCAGTAACGTTGTTCTTCAAGATGCTGTAGTCAGTATGGATCCCACTCTAAGTGTACATGTACCTCATGTGCGCAAGCTCAGAATATTTTTAATAGTAATGTCTGTTAAGAAGCGGAGGTGGAGCATCCCTGGGAAAAAGCAAAAGTCAGCGCTTATGGGCAGGAAGTCATGTGATCCACACTGACTACATCTTGAAGAACCAAGAAGGTCTGGTGTAATAATCGTTCTTTCTTTGAGTACATGTCACTGTGGATTCCACTGTAGGTGACTGGCAAGCAGTATCTTCTTCAGGTTGGTGAACATGAGGAGTATCAACATCATCAGTCAAATAGAGATTGGAGTACAGTCTCCCAAACTTATCATCTGCTCTAGCAGCCAAGTCCAGTGCATAATGTTTGACAAATGTGAGCAGTTTACTTCACGAGCAGCCCTGCAGAGTCTGGATACTGGCATGTTGCAGAGACATGCTGAGAATGCCGCTTGAGCTCTGATAAAATAAGCCCTAACTGTCAGAAGGGCATCAGCCAGTTGGCAGCACAGTGAGATACAATGTGTTATCCATTTTGAAAGTCTTTAGGATGAAGTGGCTTACCCTTTGGAGCAGCCAGCCGTAGTCACAAACTGACGTAAGGATTGTTTGAATGATTTGGTCCTGTCAGCATTGTATTGGAGTGTTCTGCATACGTCCAAGGTATGGAGCTTCTTCTCCCCTGGGATGGAATGTGGCTTTCGGAAAAACACAGGTATGTTGATGGAATTCTGAAACCATCTTGGGGAGGAATTTTGCATGAGGTTTCAGGACCATCTTATTGCTCTGAAATGAGGTGAATGTAGGTTCTGCCATGAGCCCCTGGAGCTCACTGGCTGAAGTGATGGCAACCAGGAAAACCGTTTTGAGAGGAAGATGGTGGATGGAACACTCCGAGAGGGACTTGAAGGGAGGCTCCATAAGTTTGTGAACGACAGCACTGAACTCCCACATTGGAGCAGAGTCTCTAACCAGTGGGTAGGCATGCATAAGGCCATTAAGAAATTTGGATGCCATCAGATGGGAGAAGATCAAAAGTGACTATCAGTGGATGATATGCTGATATTGCAGCCAAATGAACCTTAACTCAACTGAATGAAAGTCCAGAGTGTTTTAATTCCAACAAGTAGTCCAGAATCTTTGGTATCAGATCCTGCACCAGGTGTAAGCCATGTTGGGCCATCCATATAGAGAATCTTTTCCATTTAGAGGAGTAAGTTTTCCTTGTGGATAGTGTCCTACTCCATGACAGTATTCCCTGAACATATGAGGAGTAGTCCCTTTCCATGATGCTCATCCAGTCAACATCCAGACCATCAGCTGCCAAACTTTGGGTGTAGATGGAATATTGAACCCTGATCTTGAGACAAGAGGTCTAGCCAATCCAGGAACCTAATTAGGGGTTGTGCAGACATCTGCATCAAATTCATCAGTCAGCACAGTCTCAGCCATAGAGAATGGGGTGAATCTTGCCTGGTCTCCTCTGGCTTTGGCAATCACCCTGGGGATTAGTGTGATCAGTGGGAAGGTGTAAAGAAAGCCCTGATTCCATCGCAGAAGGAAGGCACCCAGCAAAGATCGCTGGTTCATGCCTCCTCTGGAATAGAAGTTTGGGTACTTGGTGGCAAACACCAGTTTCCCCACTGGTGGAATATTGAGTTGATGATGGATTCATCAGTGACCACTCATGGTTGGTAACAGATTGCTTGATGAGGAGGTCTGCCAGGTCACTGTTGTCTCCCAGAAGTTGCAGCTCTGTTGGATTTATGCTGCATGGGGAGCACCAGTTTGATAACATGATCACTAACTTGTGGGGTCTGGGGGAGCAGGGAGACAGGGAGCAGGCACCCCCTTGTTTGTTTAGATAGTATATTTTGGATGTATTGTCTGTCAGTATCTGCACTATTCAGTGTCACAGAACCAGGAGGAATGCCAGACATACCAGCCTGATGGTTCTGAGCTCTAAGATGTTTATCATAGTTTCATTTCTTCCAAGAACCAAACCCCTTGTATCTGCAGATTATCCTTGTGGACTTCCCAACCTTTACCAGATGGGTCCATGACTATTGGTCTGAATGGTGAAAGAGTCACAGTGGCACCCCTTTCTGAATGGTGTCAGGAAGCAATCACCAGGTCAATGTCATAAGTGTGTGGAATGGAACCACAATAACTTGCTCATCTGATGCGTTGCAGGAAAGTACACTGAGCTGAGACAGAACTGTAGGGATCCCAGATGAAGGCTGGCAAAGTGTGTCATGTATGTACCTGTGGACATATACCTAATAATTCTGGGGTATAAATGCCCAAGGATCTGAATGTTGCCTCATCTTTTTGTACACTAAATAAATCTATGCCATCAAAAGGTAAGTCCTCAATTGTCACCTGGACCACCCTTGGTATTCCAGATGCCCAGCACATTGTGATTGTCATGGCCATAAAATGGACAGTTGTACAGGATTCATCCATTATCATTTGTAGCACTGTCTTGGTTATCATCTACCCCTCCTTGACTGTGTCTTTTACTTTTTCCCTCTATTTCTATGGGAGCCAAGACAGAAATGGGTCACCCTTTCCCACATCAAAAAACTGTTTTCATGAACAGTGCTTGACAATTCACTATGTGGAATTGGAGGGCTGCCTAGGAATAGACTTTCTGGACAAAAGTATCCAGCTTTTTGGTGTCCTTGTCTTTATGCCCTTGGTGGATCTGGTCTTCTCCTACACTACAGAGATGACGAGCAATCCCAGTATCAAATGGGCATAAAAATGCTAAAAGTCTGTAGGTGGGACCTAGTAGTGTTTTTCCACCTGCTTGGAGGTGGGGGGGGGAGTAAGACCAGGTGTGCCACAGATACTTTGCTGGATACAGAGAACCTTCAAAATACAAAGTACAGACTGAGGCAGTGTGATCTGTCTGGGTCAGTAGAGGGAGACAAAGTTATAGGACTAGCATGAGCTACTGAAAGCTTGCCAAAGGCACACTGCTATGGGGGTACCAAAAGTTTAAACAAGATGTAGATAAGTATTTGAATGTGTGAAAGTTTAGCTGAACAGGCCCATGTCTACAAATCCTCTGATTCTCCCATTACCATTCTGAAATGGGGTATATGGAGACTATACTTTTATTTTAAAAGATCAGATGGTCAACTAGCACGTGGGCATGCCACGTCTTCCTGCAGGCTTGGTTAATTTCTGAACTGAACACGCTCATTAACATTAAAAGTATAGGAATTTACTCTTTCAATTGTCTTAGAGAGACTTTCAGTGTGTCGCCTCCAGCCCCCACTAACATAATATTTGGCTTCACTGTAAACTGATTCTGCACCTGTGTGTACGACACAAGAATCCGCACAATTTGGGAGTTTCTTAATCACGTATTTGGTAGTATTACATGGGTTAGAAAGAAATTTCAATTGTAAGGGCCATTTTCTCACTATTTAAAAAAATTAGCATGGGGGGGGGAGTTTTCATGTTTGGGCTCTGCCTGGAATTGAGTTTTTGAAGAAAATTTGAGAAAATCCCTTCATCTAGTTTGGATTTGGTAAAACAGCCTATTCTCATGCTTTAGAATTCCAGTCATATTTCCTCAGACAGAGCTACAGCAGAAAAGACTGAAGTTAGAAAGCTAAAGCTGGGCATAGTCCTAAGTGAGGACAAAAGTCATTGCAAGGATTGTTTTGGCAAAGCTATGACTCCTTGAAAACTGTTTACTGAGCATACAAGACAGATGCACACAGTTCCCCTATGCAAAGCTAGTTCAAAGACGGGATCAAAGAATCTACAAGTTCTCTTGGCTTTGATAGCAACGTTTGTAAGTTATGTAAAGTGACATTATAACAAAAGAATTTACAAGCTCGGATAGCAGAGGCAGCAGAATATGTGAAGCACACAGTCTGAGTAGGTCTCAGCTGCACCCTTAGGAAAAGCACAGGAAAGTCCTCTGGCTTTACAAAGTGCAGCTTATTTCTCTTCGTACAACAGCCAGTTCTGGAGTATGGTGGAGCTGAGGCATGGCCCAACCTGTTCTGTATGCCCTGGGGCAGTAGGGAAGGAGTGGTCCCTGAACTCCCAAATGTATGGACAGGAATTCTGCCTGGCCCTTATGTGGACTGTGCAATGGGCAGAATAGCAATCTCCAGAGTATGCACCCTGATAAGAACCAGGCAGAACTTCAGTCCTAAGTTAATTTAGAGAGAGGTTTTTCCAGTGGGAAAACTTTACAAGGTTGTCTAAATGACTGTCCCTGCTCTATAGCAGATTGCTAAAAGTGTTTAACAGCATTTTGCTAAATATTTAGGGATAATGAACAGAAGAAGAAATTTTCTTATAATTTAAAGGCATTGCAGCTAAAGTGTTTAGATGGGAACACTTTAAGTTGTAAGCATATACTCAGAACGTTGACTGTATAATAATGGCCCCTTCTCACTCTTGATCTGCTCCTTGTAGCTTTGAGTCATATCTGGTCACTTTACTGACAGAAACAAAATTTTATTATTCTTAGTCCCACAGTGGCAAGAAAAACAATGAGTGTGAGAGAGAGAGAGCAAGAGAGACAGACATGCACCTGGATTCTATTGTACCTCATGCATCAATGTGTCAGCTAAATCATCTTGTACTAGCGATGAATAATTTAGGAGGCAGAAAGTAAGGTGGATGTGACAAGGCTACTTCGGAAAGGCATCTTTCAGAGGCTGCTAGAAACAGTACTATAGTTTCTAGCATATTCCACCCTTTCTCAGCTCCCCTCCTTTCCCCTCTATCTTGCAACCTCTAACAGGAGAAGTAGAGGGACCTGGAAAGTACAGTATAAGGCTGGGGATGCAGAGAATGACAACAACAAAAATAGACACCAGAGAAGGGGAAATATGGAGGAGAGGAAATTGAACCTTGATTGGGGTTGCACAGATATAACTGAGGGCAACATTTGGCTCTGGGTTTTACATCTTCATATGACAGAAATGTAAAAACTATCCTTCTATAGCTTTCACCAATGCAAGTTGTAAGATCTAACAATCTTGGTAGAGGAGAATGAGTTGAAATTTCTCTGCTTTACTTCTTCATTTATTCTTTAGATGAGATGACTTAAAATAGCAATGGGAAGGGCCAGAGAACTTAATGGAGGAGGGAAAGGAACAGAAGAGTTGAAAAAGGCACCAGATGACCCCAGAGGAGAGTGGACTTATATGAAAGGATTTCCTTTTTTCCAAAGTGTGTCAGTTCTGTGTTCTGCCATTATTGCCAGTTGTGAGGATTTACAACATGCCTGTTTTTTTCCCTTAGTGAGCTTCCTACATTTAACCAGTAATTCAACAATGAGAACACCGTCTTTCTCTAATTCTCTGTTTTCAATCAGGAAAGTCTTTCCCCAGGATGTTCCTTGCCAACTGGCAATAACCACTAATGATATGTAAATGCCATTGTGCCATCCTAACCTCAGGGAAACTCTTAACAGTTGGGTTTATTGAAATACAGAGAATACTAGTATTTTTTAAAAAACTGATTAGTTATGAAACCAAATTCTAGAATGGCATTTCCATCTCTCTTTGCTTACCCTCAAGGTAGATTCTTCAGGAGTGGTTAAGAAAAAGTTCTGACTGTAACATGGAGGGGCGGGGGGTGGGGGGTACCTCTTGTGTGCCACTTAGGGGACAGACATCCTTATGTTCTTATTTCCCACAAGGAAGTTCCAGTACAGAGGGGTCATTGGGGATTGGTTGACTTACTGCAAAGAGAATGAAACACAGCATACCCTTATTTTCACTGCAATTATCTTCATCACTTCCATCTTTACAGTCATTATCCCCATCACACTGGAAAGCACTGGGAATGCACTGTCCATTTTTGCACTCCACCAGACCCTGACTGTAACATGCTGGGGAAACAAGAACACATTCCAATCATCCTACATGTCTACAGGTCTCTCATTTCTTTTAAACATATTTTTTGAAATAAATATTATTGGAGGGGCTGGCAGCAACGCTTAGAAATGTAGCTGAACACTTACCATTATTATAAAGACCCTGTTTTCAGCTGCTTATAACTTTCAAATTTTAACCATTTGGGCTGAAATTTTCCTTATCAGGTGTCTGGCTCAGGCTAAATTCTTCTGGAAATTTTCAGGCAAATGGTTTGGCTTTTTCTAAGAATGAGGCTAAGGAAAAATAATTTTTTTTGCCCATGTTAAAAAATTGTTCAAAAATCTTCAGTGCCTGCATTCTTTGGAGCAGGGACTTGAATTTTGGCAGGGGGTGGGCTTTAGTTGTCTCTGAGCAAAAACATCCACATTTTGCCAAATGATAAGACTTGGGGGGGGGAAAACAGTTTACACATGATCAGTAGATTTTTGCAGATAAATTTTTGGAAGATTCTGTCTGTTCTGGGCTTTTCCTCAGCAGAACTTTCCATGTAATATCAGCTGTGGAATGATGACAGCTCTGCCTGGTCCAGTGTGGGTAGCTGAACGGAGAGCCTCTCTCTCCTGTGTGCTCAATGGGTATGGCTACACAGGGATAAAAAACCCACAGCTGGCCCAGGCCAGCTGACTTGGGCTCACAGGACTCAGTAATTTTTCAGCCCAGAGCCTATGTCCCTACTCCAAAATGCTTACAATTTAAGAAGGACAGTTGCAGTATTCCAATTGAAATGATAATGAACCAGAAGGAAACTACAATACATTTTGACAATCAGAAGGAAAGGTTAAGAACATAAGAACAGCCATACTGGATCAGATCAATGATCCACCTAATTCAGTATCCTGTCTTCCAACAGTGGCCAATGCCAGGTGCTTCAGAAGGATTGAACAGAACATGTAATCATCAAATGATCCATCCCCATCACCCATTCCCAGTTTTTGGCAAACAGAGGCCTGGGACACTTCAGAACATGTTTTTGCATCCCTGCCAATCCCGACTAATAGTCATTGATGGAGATATCCTCCATGAACTTATCTAGCTCTTTTTTGAACTCAGTTATAGTCTTGGCCTTTATCATACCCTCTGGCAAAGAGTTGCACAGGTTGACTGTGTATTGTGTGAAGAAATACTTCCTTTTGTTTGTTTTAAACCTGCTGCCTATTAATTTCATGTGGTGACCCTTAGTTCTTGTGTTATAAGAAGGAGTAAATAACATTTCCTTATTTACTTTCTCCACACCAGTCATAATTTCATAGACCTCTATCATATCCCCCCCTTAGTTGTCTCTTTTCCAAGCTGAAAAGGCCCAGTCTTATTAATCTCTCCTCAGATGGAAACTATTCCATACCCCTAATCATTTTTGTTGCCCTTTCCTGTATCTTTTCCAATTCCAATACATCTTTTTTGACATGGAGTGACAACATCTGCATGCAGTATTCAAGATGTGGGGATACCATATAGAGGCAATATGATATTTTCTGTCTTATTATATATCACTTTCCTAATGATTCTCAATATTGCTTTAGCTTTTTTGACTGCCACTACACACTAAGTGGAAGTTTTCAGATAACTATGCACAATCATAGAATCATAGAAAATTAGGGTTGGAAGAGACTTCAGGACGTCATCTAGTCCACTCCCCTGCTCAAAGCAGGACCAACACCAACTAAATCATCCCAGCCAGGGCTTTGTCAAGCTGGGCTTTAAAAACCTCTAAGGATGGAGATTCCACCACCTCCCTAGGTAACCCATTCCAGTGCTTCACCACCCTCCTAGTGAAATAGTTTTTCTTAATATCCAACCTAGACCTCCCCCACTGCAACTTCAGACCGTTGCTTCTTGTTCTGTCATCCGCCATCTTGTTCTGTAATTGCCAGGATCACCTCTGGAACCCATTTTTAAAAACTGGCATCACATTAGCTAACCTATAGTTTAACTATGTTTGCCACAGTATGTTACCTGCAAGGACATTTACCACTTACTAAGCTATATGAAATCAAATTCCCTTAAATTCTTGTCTTTCTAGCAATATTCCATCCTTAACATTTTTTTAAAACAATACTGATATGGAGACTAAAGAAATTAGGTAACTTACAGCAATTGACTTCATCTGACTTGTCTATACAATCATGGTCACCATCACATACCCAGTCTACCGTTATACATCTTCCATCTCCACATCGATGTTGCTTCAATGGATTGCAATCTGATGAAAAATTAGGAGAGAAAAGAAAGAGAAAAAAATTAATACCAATTGTGTAATTCCTATTTCTCTGCTTGACAATTCCGTGCTCTGAAAAGGTCATTATCATTACAACTTTGTCAATTTAGTGTTAGATTAACTACAGTACACAAGGTTACCATACCTGCAGTATTACTTAAACTATTTTATACTTATAGTAAATGCCTTAAACAAGGCAAAAACTGATGTAAAGTGAGGTCAGAATGCTGAGAGAAATGGAGCTTGCACCAGCTCTCTAGTCACTATTAGCATTAATTAGGTTCCTAGAGATGGTCAGAGATGGGCCTGATTATTAGGCAGGGGTTAGGAAGTTGTAACCTGAAGAATTATTACACTTATAAGATTATGTATTGGGGAGCGACATGCACTTGTTACAGATAACTGGTTCTTTTCCTAGGCAGGTAATTAGAGTTAATTGAGAAGATGGTTATTTGGTGAAACACACAGAAACTTTATTTAATACAGACAAGTATAATTGACATAGTAGGAAAGGATCAATATACATAAATATAAGGATAAGATAAGTGCAGTAAAGTGGTTTCCTGTATTGTTCATACTTACAATCTTGCATGGTGCATATTCACAATTTATGGAGACCATTGAAAACCAAGATAGAAGGGAAAGTAAGTGGAGCCCATCAGAAGGGAGGTCCTGATTCAGATTACACCATCTCGGGGACGCAACAAACCCAAAGAAACGGGAACTGGGTGTAATATTTTATACCATTCCTTATGGTAAGAGTATGGATATATACCATATTTGATCCTTTACCCTAATTATTATAAGGTCAATAGCTGCCCCACCCACATGTAGCCTTTGGGGTGTCCGTAATTAAGCATCAAACATTAATATTAATGATTTATATACTTATTTCTTAATAATTTCTATATGTAAATGAGGTCTAACTGCGCACATACTCCATAGCAACCTCATTACCAAAGCCCCCTATGATGGGATTCCTGGGGTGAAACCTGGACTATGGGACCGCTGAGCCCTCCAAACCTACCAGCCTGAGCTGCTTCTCACATGGTCATGTTAATGTCAAGGTACAAGCCTCTGACAGGCACTGGATTTACACAGCCAGCCACATGCAGGGGCACACCCCAACTGACTTACATGAATGATCTCCCAGTCACTCATGAACCATCAGTAGGGATGCTTCAGCCAATACCCTCCCCCCCTCCCCCCAAATTCCAGAACTGTGCTGTCTTGCACTGGTCAGAGCCTGGCCAATGTAAGCTCATTCCTTAATTCACTACTTCTTCATAGGAAAGTGGGCATGCACCAGCCTTTGTAACCTAAGTTGAGATTCCCCTAGCACTTCAACCAAAAACACACTGTTTTAGTAAAATATAAAATAGATGTATTAATTATAGAAAGTGAGTATAAGTAATAGGCATAGAGATCAAAGTTGGTTACCTAAGAACTAAAAATAGAAATAGTCTAAATTCTAACTTTAACAGACTAAGCAAGATTTGAATCAAACAGTTTCTCACCCCACAGGCAGCTTACAGTTCCTCAAAACACAGGCGGGACTCCAATCCGGCCTGGGACCGGTATCCCTAGTTCCAAGTCTTTGTCTTCCATCTAGATGATCTTCTGGATGTTGAGACGGGAGGTGGGGGAGAAACCAAGTGATGTCACCACTCTCTCTCTTTCTATACCTTCTTCCAGATGCTAGAAAGATCCTTGCTGTGACATGGGGGTCTCCCAGAATGAGAGCGCAAAGTTTCTGACTTGGGTTTATTGCCTTAAATCTTTCACATTTTAGCTACACTTCAGGCGTTAGTAGAATTCCTTGTGACGGGGTGTGACTCACCACTCTGGCGCCTCCTGTCAGCTGTCATGGGAATTAGCTCTTTTTGTCAGTTCACCCTCTTCTGGTGTTGCCTCGCTGCTGTCACTTCTGCTCTGTGACTCACGTCACTCCCAGGACCACGGCATGCTGTTCAGTGACACAGCCATCTGGCTGTGCCGCACTCTGTGCTCCCCACTTCCAGGGGTGTAGTCCAGCCACTTCTTCAGTGGCGAGTGGGGTTGCGGGGGACCCGGGCCCACCCATTACTCTGGGTCCAGACCCAGGGATGCTGTAGATGGCCACTGCTTCCAGCGCCCCCTCTGACTCCTCCATAGGTTTCCCTGGGCCACTTCCCTGCGGCCCAGCACCTTCTTTATCCTTGCCTCAGAGCCACAGCCTGCAGCACATCAGGAGCTGCCTTTAGATCCCTGTGTCTCTGCCTGCAGTACTGCTCTGTCCAGGGTGCTTGCTGCCTTCAGCCTGCAAGGCACCCAGTCCACCTCACTCCTCAAACTCCAGGGAGGACTGAAGCTGCTCTGTTCTGCAGCCCTTCTTATATGGGCCAACCCGGCCTTGATTGGCTGCTCATTGCAGTCCCTCTGATTGGCTGCATCCTGCGCAGCCTCCCCAGGGCTCTATTAACCCCTTAGATCTCAGTGTGGGGCAGGCGCCCCATCACATTCCTGCACAAAGCTTTCACCTAGTATAACAGATCTTTAACTCTAGCAACCTTAATAATCCATGTACTTATGTTCACCTATTTGCCCCCCATGCAAGTTTGAAGCTAATAAACAATACACCCCTGACACTCCTATAATGTCATTTTACCTCTAACAAGCATAAAATCACCCACAAGATGTGAGAGGGGACCATAGGTCATAAGCTCAAGTCAGGGGTTAATGTTAATGAGCTAATTAACCCATGAGCAGGCAAGTGGTTAAAAAGGAGCACAGGAAAGAAGTGCTTGAGGAGGAAGGGGGAAGAGAGGAGGCTAGGAGAGCCTGACAAGGCAGCTCTTGGAGTAGAGACATCTCAGCCACTCACCCCTGGAAGAAAGGGCCAGAGAGCTGGAAAAGAGTGCAAGGATGTGGTTGCACTGATATGCACTGATGGAAGGACTGAGACACTGTAATTAAATTACATGCTGGTGTTCACAAGCAGGAAGGTCTCAGAGTGGTCTGTGTTGGTGGAAGAGGTGGAGGTACAGCAGCTGTGACCTGTCACAATGTTACCTAAGGCAACTGCCATGTTTCCAATAGTGACTACCATACTATAGACCAATATCTTTTTTCCTATTAAAGTAATTTGGATTTATACTAACAAATGGGAAATATCCTGGACAGAGAAACTAAGCAGTTAGCACATGTAATTTTGTGCTTTAGCCTCATATTTTAGCATATTATTTCATAGACAGTTCTGAATATGAAATTTAAGGTCAAGTACATCCATTTAATTTGCAATTCCTACATAGAGATGTCAGTATGATAAAGTATTTGTTCCCAAACTGAAATTCACAGATCACTCTCAAATTGTCTGCAGAACTGCATCTCTCCTAGCATATCAACACCTATTGAGAAATGATCTGTCCAATGGCCATGTGATGTGGGTAGAGTGAGTAGCTATGCTGAGGTCCCACAGAATTACTAAAACCCACTGGTTTGGTAATTTTTTTGTGTTTTGTTTTTGACATTTCACTCAATTTCTAATAGATCATATGACTGGAAGAAATAAAATATTTCTGAGGTAAGAGATGAAACTGAAAACTCAAATAGTATATAAGGAATAGACTATAGTCTGGCTCCTCAGTGAAGTAACGCTAAGAGGACTGAAGAGACACCACCTTGGATGCCACCTATTTTAAAAGAGTCTTGGAGAAACTCCAACCAATGAAAGAATTGCTGGAATCGCTAGTGATCTCCAACAAGGATTTGGAAGACTCTGTGGCCAATATTGCAGAGAAAACAGTTCATGCTGAAGAAAGAATTTTGATGGCCAAAGATGCTGCATCACCAAAAAGAGGCCAAGGTAAAAGATTTTCAAAGAGATCTATCTGTCCCTATTGAAAGATAAGATAAAGGATTATGAACAGTGACATAAGGCACAGCAGAAGGCAATGATACTGTGTTTGTGGAAGTGCTATTTCTTCCTATTACACACTCAGCTGAAGACATCAGTTGAGAGTTGGAATGAACACACCAAACACTAGTTCCCAGAAAAACAAAGCATTCTTCAGAAGGCTAAAGCTCTTGCGGTCTTATCTATTATAGACATAGCTATTTATTTTGCCAGGCTTCTTGGTTAAGGTAGAGGGAAAATCTCTTTCTTCACTCCCACCATAAAATTGTTTAGAAGTAAAAAAAGATAGATCTGCATTGCATTATGGGACACATAATGATCCCACTAGCCTGCTAAGCTTTGGAAGAGGCCAAGAATTTTCCATAAGAAAACTCCAAGAAAAGACAGAAGTCTTAGCCTTATTTTGCCCTTTCATCATTCTGTTTCCTCAAGTAATGAAACTTTCTTTGTCGAACCCTTAGGAAAGGTTGAATATACAGAATACACTTGGTATAAAAGTTCTTGAGAGTATGTTAAAGATGAAGAAGAGAGAATGGGACACAACAAATCTGAGAGTAATCACTGTCAAACATTGTTTTTATGTCAGTGTTTTCTGTTATTATGCTATTAAGTTAGGAAGTTTAACTTGTTTCCATTTTTCTCAAAAATTATTACCAACCATGCTACACAACTGAGCACTTTAATGGGGCCAGGATTTCACTGTAAGGGCCTGATTCTACCAGCTTAGCTCACAAGGAGTAATACCTTACAGCACAAGTAGTCCCTTTGATAGATTCCAATGGAAGTACTTGAGGAATAAGGAAAAATCCACACCCCTGAGAGATGTAGTTATGCCAACCTAACCCTCAGTGTAGACAGTGCTCGGTTGAAGGAAGAATTCTTCCATCAACCTAGCTATTGCCTCTAATGGATGTGGATTACTTATGCCAATAAGAGAACCCCTTCCGTCAGCATAGGAAGCGTCTACTCTGAAGTGCTAGAGCAGTGCAGCTGCAGTGGTTTAAGTGCAGACATACTCTAAGGTCTCCTCTATACTTAACATTTTTTGGAATAATCTTTTGGTTAGGGATGTGATTTTTTTCTCCCAAAATAGTTATATCAGTAGAAAGGTGACTTATACCTGTATAGTTATTTCCCTTCCCCTAGCTATACCCTTGTAAAGCAACTGCATCTGGACTAGGGAGGTTAACTATACTTATCTTTGAAGCAGTACAGCTTTTTAGAGTAGACATGTCCTTAAACTCATGTATAACTTTGCTCACATAAGAAATCCCACTGAAATCTTCAAAATAGTAAATTCATAAGTCACATGAAGACTACTCACATGAAGAAAGCCATGCACAAGATTAAGTGCTTGCAGGATTGGGGCCTATTCACTGTGAGTAAAAGTGATCAGATTCAATGAAAAAAAAATTACAAGAAAAAATGGGTGGGACAGTTGTGGAGAGTTTTTGTTATCACAGGTTACTAATGCCTATTGTCCATCAATGCAGCTATTACTGCCTATTACTCAAAACCGGCCTAACAGACTTGTGGTGGGCAAGATTGGAAGTATCCAGGGCAGTGAGGAGGAGATTACAATAACCAAGGCACAAGACAATAAACACTTGACCAAGCCGTAGGTAGTTTATATAGAGGAAAAAAGGTTGAATCTTAGGGCCATTATATAGGATAAAGTAATATCAGGAAGACAAGATGTGATCAAAGTTGGATGGAATTTTTTTTCAGTTAAAAGGTTTTTAATAAAAAGAGCTTTTGTCAAAAACTTTTTTCAATAAAAATCTCATTTTTGATTAAATTTTTCATTTAAATATATTGAATAAAATTTTTAGAAAAAACATTTATTCAGTATTTTTGAAAATGTTTCTTTTGAAATTGTTAAAAAATGGACACCTTCTGTCCTCTCACTTTTCTGGGAGGTGAGAAGAAAATGAAAGTAAAAGCTAAAAAGGAACAGGTTTTTTTATTTTAACAAAAATATTATTTTTCATGTTTAATGGTAGCTCTTTCAGAGAGAAAGTAGCACTTTCACTTTGTTTAACTGTTTCTCTCTGGCAAAAATTGGAAAAATAAGGTTTTTCCGCACTAACTCTTTAAATTTTGCATCAGGAAACCATTATTTCCTGGTGGCAAAATTTCAAATGGGGACTTTTCCCCCCCATGAACATTTCTACGGGAAAAATTCCCATTTTCAAGCCAACCATAGATGTAATGTGGATTGTGAGACCAAGAGGATCTGCCAAACAAGACATTGAAGAAGTGATCAGAGAGGTAGGAAGATAATTATCAGTGGAAAGAGCCTTGAAATTCAATGGAGAGCAGGATTTAAAGAGCAGTGAATAGCTGATGGTCAAGGAGGACAAGTCTGTCCTGATGCTTATGCAGGAAGAGTTTAGTCATAATGCTCTGCTGGCACCAATGATATGCAGCATTTTTAGGTTCTATTTTATCTCATATGAGTTGCTGAATTATCTGGAAAACTGAAACACACCTTGAATAAGTTTACAATAAATAACAAAGTCAACATTTCTTCAATAAAATATGCACCTGATTTGTATAAAACATAAAAATTGTGTAAAAATATCATTTGCTGAAAAAGCATTGAATGATAGAATTCTCCAAATCTTTTAAATTAGTTATGAAGAGTCACAAACTTTAATCTGTGTTCACTTCCTTGCTAAATAAAGTGGAACGCATGGGTATATTACTGTTTCTGGTAAGTCTAAGGGAAAAGATTCTGTCAGTTTAGACAATGCTATTACATTAAAGCCTTTAGAAAAATGTAACACTCCCAATTACCACAGTTTTGTTCATCACTCAGGTCTCCACAATCATCATATCCATCACAAACAAAGGTGTAATTGAGGCATTTCCCGGTAGTACAACGGAACACATCATCACTGCAGTCTGCAAAACAAATATTTGTAAAGCACATCAACAAAACACTACATTGTGTTCTATGTTTACAGCACCACAATAGTGATAGAGAAAGTTAAACTACATTAATAGCTACACACAATAGCTATATTATAGTAGTAAACACACATATAAGCCAACAACTATGTTGCATAAGCACATCTGTTCATTAGAATCCAATATGGATACTGAATATAAGAAGAAGGATCAAAGACTCTTTGTGGACCTTTTTGGCTGCAGCCAGGAAGAAAGTATTGGGACATGCCTTCCCCAGCCCACAAACCTGTCTGAGGCCAGAGCTCAGCACAACCCTGCACTCCAGTGCCAGGGCAGGATGCAGACCAGAAAGCACATGGAAAGATAGTGTGCAGCCCCAGCACTTCCCTGGTTACAGCCCCACAGACCTGCCTGTGGCCAGGGACTTTCTTCCTAAAAAAAAGTGGTAAGCGGCATGCCTGTTGCCAATATCCAAATCCAATTAATATTAAAGTCAATGGAACAGGATCGGTTCCCAGCAAAATGTTGCCATTAAATGAAAGATGTTAGTATACAGATTGCTATTAAGCAACAGCTACTGTATTTACCACACAGAAAGTATGTTTCTTTGCCTCAAAATGGTGATAAGGTTAATTCTCAGTTCTTCCTACTATTCTCAGGAAATGCATTGGCCAAATCCTCCGAAACAGTGAAGTCCCTTTGCACCACACTGCACACACAACCTGGTCATTGATAAACATATATGTGCCCCAAGAAGGATTTCCAGCATAGGGAGATTCTCTGGTGATGAAAAGCCTGCATAAAGATTGCTACCCTACCTTCTCTGCCAGTGACTGGAGGAAAGTGTGTCTGGCTGGGAAACTCACGGGTTGTTCCAAAACCTGGCTATGGTTTCCGCCCCTTGTGGAATTGGTAGCAGAAGTAAATCGGCAGAAGCCTCAGGCTGCCCTAATATATGCCCAGGGACCAGCCCTGCATACCGTGACCCCAGAATCAGGCCTGATTTGTTCTGCACGTTCCTTGGCTGAAGACAAGGGTCTGGGCCTGCTGTATCTTTTTTAAGATACAACACATCTGTCCTGAAAGTTGGAGATTAGTGTAAGCACTGGAAATCTGCAAATGGAAAGATTGTGTTGGTTTGGTGGGCTGGATCAAGCGTTCACAAATCTTACACATCACATCTGCCATTGTACTTACAATGTTATCAAGACATAGATGAGCAAATTTTAACATTTTCCAAGGCATGACACAGTGCTTTGTGTGACAAGGCACTGCCTTTCTCTTGCAAGACTTAGTGCTTCCCCCTCTGGCGATGGCGGACCTGACGTAATCATCCCCTCTCAGGGCAGGGTTTGCCTTCCCTCTTCTGTGCTTCCTTAGTCCTATTTTCAGGGTAGGCCTGAGGATTGGCCTATGATGTGATCCTCCACCAAACAAAAAGGAAACAGTCTCATAAACAAAAAAAACACCCAGAGGGGTAACTTTCGCTGCCTCCTCACCGGTGCAGGGTGTCATTCTGTTGGTTGCTCTGGGGTGTCAGTCCTTCCCCTACCAGGGGAAGGAACACAGCCTCTCATCCTGAAGCGGCTTATTTCCCTGCTGCTACTAGCCTGGCAGCAGCTTGTCTGTCTGTCTGTCTCTCTTCCCCTCTTCTCTGCCCAGAGGAGGGTTTTTTTAAAGACCTCAGGCAGCCCTTAATTGGAATCACTTGTCCCTAATTGACCTGAGGTAACCCCTTCTCAGCTTATAGGGAAGAGGGCCTTTAACATTCTGGGGCTAACATATCGGCCTACCAAGACCCTCTTGCAGCCATCCGGCCTGACTTTGTCACACAGACATACACCCCTGCTCAACACCATGGGTTTGGGCTACTTGGGTCAAAAAATAGTGCACCCTTGACAGGCCATCAGCGTTGCCATGCCTGGTCCCTGACCTGTGTTGCACTCTGAAGTGGAAGGGTTGTAATGACAGGAACTATCTCGTTACCCTTGCATTTCTTTCCTTGTTCAGGTGCATCCATTTCAGGGGGGTATGGTTAGTGATGAGGGTAAACCTCCATCCAAGTTGTATCGGAGGGTTTCCATGGCCCACCTTACTACAAGGCATTCCTTCTCTACCATGGCATACCTTTGTTCTCTGGGCAGGAATTTCCTACTAAGGAATAAGATTGGGTGGTCTTTCTCTCTTACCATTTGAGAGAGCACGGCTCCCAACCTGACCTTGGAGTCATTTGTTTGCAGCAAGAACTCCTTCTAAAAGTCCAGGGATACTAGCACTGGATTACTGCAGACAGTGGTCCTCAGATCTGTAAAAGCTTCCTCAATTGTGCTGGTCTATTTCACTATGTCTGGGCCCCAGGTTTTTATTAGATCCATCAACTGGTATGCTCTGGTAGCAAAGTGGGGAAATGAATCGCCTATACTACCCAGCTATTCCCAGGAATGCTTTGACCTGTTTCTTCCAGATCAGTAGGGGGCCAACTTTGTATCGCTTGTAACTTGTTCAGTTGGGGCTTCACTATGCCCCTCCCAACTACGTACCTAAGGTATTTGGCTTCTGCTAGCCCTGTTGCACATTTGGAGGGATTCGCAGTGAGACCTGTCTTCCTCAGGTTATCCAATACTGCTTCCACCTTTTCTAGGTGTCTCCCCCAATCTGGGCTATGTATGATGACATCATCAAGGTAAGTGGCCGCATACTTGCCATGTGGAAGGTTGCGGGAACCCCCTGTAATCCAAAAGGGAGGACTGCGTACTGTACAATCCCTCTGGTGTCGAAAAGGTATTTGCCAATAGCCTTTGGTCAGGTCAAAGGTGGACAAAAAATTAGCTTTTCCCAACCAGTCGATTAGCTCATCTATCCTAAGTATGGGGTACGCATCAAACTGGGACACCTCATTTAATTTTCGGAAGTCACTGCAGAATCTCATGCTGCCATCTGGCTTAGGTACCAGGACAACGGGACTGGATCATTGACTATGAGACTCCTCAATGACTCCCAGCTCCAGCATTCTCCCAACTTCAGTCCTGATCTCCTCCCTTTTTGCCTCTGGGATCCGGTATGTCTTAACATTCACCTTTACTCCAGGATGTGTGATGATGTGGTCCCACCTGGCTTCTCTGAGAACACGTTATGGTTCCGTTCAATCATATTGATGACTTCTGCTCATTGTTCAGGGGTCAATTTAGGGGATATCCCTAACAGTCCCTGATGTTTACTTTCTTGGGGTGATGTCTCTAGGATGACCAAATGAGCTTCCATGTCTTGCCAGGGTTTCAATAGGTTGACATGGTAGATCTGTTCCAGCTTCCGGTGATCAGGATGTCGAACCTTATAGTTGACCTCCCCAGTGGCTTCTGTTACTTCATATGGCCCCTGCCATCAGGTCAGGAGCTTGCTCTCAGCTGTGGGCTCCAGCACCATTACCCAATCTCCCGCCTGGAATTTCTGGGCTGTCGCTCAGCAATTGTAATAGGTCTATTGGGCCTCTTGTGCCTTCTCCATGTGTTTCCACACTATGGGGGACCTTTGGCTATCCTGTCCTTCATCTGCATCACATGCTCAATGATGCTTCTTCCCTTGTTAGGTTGTTCTTCCAAGCCCTCCTTAGCGATGACAGCTCGAAGGGGGAAAACCCAGTTGAAGTCTGGGAAACCTTCCTTATAGCAAACATCAGGTAAGGTGGTAAGATATCCCAATTTTTCCCATCCTGGCTCACCACTTTCTGTATCCTGTTCTTCAGTGTTCTATTAAAGCATTCAATGAAGCCATCGGTCTGTAGATGGTAGACTGACATTCTTAGGCCCCATATGTGCAGCATTGCACACAAGTCCTTCTTCAACTTTCACACAAAGGGGGTTCCTTGATCTATCAAGATCTCTCACCCTAGAGAAAATTTTGGTTAATTCCTTAGCTATCACTTTGGACATTGTGTTTCATAGGGGTATGGCTTCTGGATATCGGGTGGCGTAGTCCAGAACAACGAGCACACTCTGATGGCCCCAGGCTGACTTCTCCAATGGGCCTATCAGGTCCATGGCTATCCTCTTGAATGGGACTTTGATAATTGGCAGAGGTACTAAAGGGACCCTCAAGTGCGGTGGGGAGATATGCAATTGGAATTCTGGGCAGGAGGCGCAATATCGTCGTACCTCCATATAAACTCCCGGCCAAAAGAATCTCCATAGGAGTCAATCAAGGGTCTTATCTACCCCCAGACGTCCTCTGAATAAATGACTATGAGCTAGGTCCAACACTGCCCTGTGGTGCCTTCAAGTACCAAGAGCTGCTCCACCTCTTGCTCTTGCAGTCAGACTACTCTATATAATAAGTCCCTTTTTATCATGAAATATGGCCCTGGGACTTCGGTTTTCCCCTCCACTGGGACCCCATTCACTTCAACTATCTCTTTTCTAATATTATTGTATAGCAGATCATTGGCATGATCCTTCCCAAAATTCTCAAATGAGGGTCCAATATGCCCAAATTCAAGGGGACCTACTTCTGTTTCTCTCTCAGGGTTGGACTCCATGGAATTGGGTCCAGCTTCTAACTTGTCGACTCTGCGTCGCCCCCTGCCAACTGGACACGATTTCTTCCCTACGAGTGCAGCCTTTTGGTTCTGGGCCAAGATCCTGGTTCCCAACCTCTTGTCTGCACTCCTTTCTCGCCTAGTCTTCCAAGGCTTCCCAGTTGTAGAGAACAAGTCCTGGGCTAATTCACAGAAGACTGAGAGAGGGCTAGCTACTGGGTCCATTGTATTAATCCCAGGGTCACTACTCCCCTCTGACTCCTCTATGGGGAGTAGGCCTCCAAACCCTAAGAAGTCTCATCCTATAAGGACCGGATATGGGAATTTCGGGACCACCTCCACCATCACCCTTGTGGTATTCCCCTGGACCTCAATTTGTACAGGGATGGTTGGTTTGGCCCGAGACAACTGGTCCTGCCCCATGAGTTTCCTTGAGACCAGCATGACAGCACTTCTGGAATCC